CCGCCCGGGCCCGCCCCCTCGCCCTCTCTCCCGCCCCCTCCCTCGCCCTCCCCCGCGCCCCCTCCCTCGCCCTCGCTGGCGGCCCCTCCCTCGCCCTCGCTGGCGGCCCCTCCCTCGCCCTCGCTGGCGCCCCCTCCCTCGTCCTCGCTGGCGGCCCCTCTCTCGCCCCCTCCCTCGCCCTCGCTGGCGGCCTCTCCCTGGCCCTCACTGGCGGCTTCGCCCTCACTGGCGGCCCCTGTCTCGCCCCCTCCCTCACCCTCACTGACGCCCCCTCCCTCGGCCTCACTGACAGCCTCGACCTCGCTGATAGTGACAATGTTTTGCAGGGCCGTAATCTCGCTGACTTGCGTCGTAGCCAGCCAAGAGGGACATTTACGATGAGCACCACCCTGCGACTGGGCAAACAGATCCTTCAGTCCATCGAAGCTATCCATTCTGTTGGCTTTCTGCATCGTGACATCAAACCGGTGAGAGTCAGCACATTGGGCCCGGGCTCCCCTGACATACACCCACCCCTCTTACACACAGGGTGGTAGGTGTCCAGAACGTGTTGCCACGGGAGGTGGGAGGAGCAGGTACGCGAGCAATGTTTAAGAGGCTTTTGGAGAGATACATGAAGAGGAGAGAGTAGAGGGATACAGACCATGTGCAGGCAGAAGGGATTTGGTTTAGAATAGCAACATGGTCAGCACAGACGTGGCGGGTCGAAGGGCCTGTTCCTGTGCCGCACTGTTTGAAGTTCTGTGTTCCCTGAATCTGTCTGGGTCCAGTTTGTGTTCTCCACATCTCTGTCTCGGTCTCTCTCTCACTCTCTCATTCGCTCCACATCTCTGTCTCGGTCTCTCTCTCACTCTCTCATTCGCTCCACATCTCTGTCTCGGTCTCTCTCTCACTCTCTCATTCGCTCCACATCTGTCTCGGTCTCTCTCTCTCTCTCTCTCATTCACTCCACATCTCTGTCTCGGTCTCACTTGCAGACTCTCATTCCTCCTGGAATAAGAACCTTGGCTTGGGATCAATGGGACAGAGATGGGATGTTTTGTTTTCGTTATTGTAACTGGTTACCTCTCTCTTTTTAACCATCAAACCCTTTCCACAACACCCCACAGTCCAACTTTGCAATGGGACGATTGCCATCTACCTACAGGAAGTGCTATATGTTGGACTTTGGTCTGGCACGACAGTACACCAACACGAATGGAGAGGTCCGGCCAGTAAGTAACCACAGACACAGAATCCCAGACCAACCCATTCGCCTCCCTGTGACGGTCACTGTTGGGGGTTGGGGTGGGGTCCCGTAGCCCCAGTGAGAGTCGGTGTGCGTGTGGGACCCCGTGCCCCAGTGAG